TATTTATTTAACAACATAAGCAAAATGATGAACTGAATGCTCCCATTGAAGGATCGCACTAAATGGAAATGTATATATGTCAATGGAATTTTATCAAGGCTCTTACTTCATAAGATGTATTTATGTCAATGGTGTTCTAATAATGTTGTTGGTGTGTTCATTTTGTCATAAACGATTATAATTGTCGGTAAAACGTATTTATTGAAAACAGCAGTATGTTGTACTCTCAAATGCAAAATGCTGATCGTGAGATTGAACTTGGTGTTTATAAAAACGGGGTGTGTCCGTCACACCTGCTGCTGAAGTTACGGACGGGATGTGTCCGTCACACCTGCTGCTGAAGTTACGGAGGGGATGTGTCCGTCACACCTGCTGCTGAAGTTACGGACGGGATGTATCCGTCACACCTGCTGCTGAAGTTACGGACGGGATGTGTCCGTCACACCTGCTGCTGAAGTTACGGACGGGATGTGTCCGCCACACCTGCTGCTGAAGTTACGGACGGGATGTGTCCGTCACACCAGCTGCTGAAGTTACGGACGATGTGTCCGTCACACCTGCTGCTGAAGTTACGGACGGGATGTGTCCGTCACACCTGCTGCTGAAGTTACGGACGGGATGTGTCCGTCACACCTGCTGCTGAAGTTACGGACGGGATGTGTCCGTCACACCTGCTGCTGAAGTTACGGACGGGATGTGTCCGTCACACCTGCTGCTGAAGTTACGGGCGGGATGTGTCCGTCACACCTGCTGCTGAAGTTACGGACGGGATGTGTCCGTCACACCAGCTGCTGAAGTTACGGACGGGATGTGTCCGTCACACCTGCTGCTGAAGTTAAGGGAGGAGTATTTCCATGACAAGACTTGTTGAATTTATGCAGCTGATTGATCAGACTGTCAGATGTAGGATACAAGGCAGACACAGCACAGACTTAGGACACACACAGGACAGACAAAAGACAGACACAGGACATCCACAGATCATATATAAAGGACAGAAACAGGATATATTTGTAGGACAGAAACAGGGCAGTCACAGGATAGACACGTGACAGAGACACATGATAAACACCTGACAGAGACACAAGATAGACACAGTAAACTTGTTACTTATTACTTTTACTTATTACTTGTTACTGATTGCTTGTGACGTATTTCTTATTACAAGTCATTTTGTTACTACAAGATAGACACAGTAAACTTGTTAATTATTACTTTTACTTATTACTTGTTACTGATTGCTTGTGACGTATTTCTTATTACAAGTCATTTTGTTACTAGTTACCGGCTACTTCATTAAAACCTTTGAAGCCATCAAGCCCAAGTCACCGTTACACACAGTGACAACATAATGACAGGCTATGGCACTTGTGACGTGACAGTGTATCTCAGCGGGTACACAACTTCTCGTCTAGATGACAAGTCCACGCAGTCAGCTCATTGAGTGCTCTCTATTCACCTCTTTGATTTGACGGACCCCCCACCGTAGACCTTTCAAATGGCTGGTGTAATGGTGTTGTCACCAGGAGCGAAGATCTTAAATGGCTGGATATTTTAACGGCTGTCAATTTATCAAAGCTGGAGTTTGTACTGCTATTGACTGATTCATATGTGTATACTGCTATTGACGGCCTCTGTTTTTTGTACTGCTATTGACTGCCTCTGTTTTTTGTACTGCTATTGACGGCCTCTGTTTTTTGTACTGCTATTGACGGCCTCTGTTTTTGTACTTGCTGTCGACAGATTGAGCGTTTAGCTCTGGGTGCGTTTTTCTGTTGAAAGATTTTTAGATCAAATTTCTTTCAAGTGGGTGCAGATAAAAGTCTTTTTTTAATTCCACTGAATGAATGAAAACGTCAATGTCTTGTACGAATTAAAATTTGTGAATTATTTTTCACATTTTTTAAGTGCTCAAGGTTGGCTGGCCCCCGGGGTGAGGGGGGGTGCTTATATTTACAGTAGTAAGTAGTAAATATTAAGTTAATAGTATGAAATAACCCGTTAAAATAGTTTGGTGTAAAAACGTGTTAAAATATTGCACATGTAAATAAGCTGTTAGTCAAGGAGAGCATTCATTTCAACAGAAGTAACAGAAATAGTGTCCCTTAGAATAACTAGCTTTCTTTTAGCGTGTTACATTCCTGACATACGCACTAACAACAACATGAGATACATTACATGTCACACTCCTGACATACACACTAACAACAACATGAGATACATTACATGTCACTTTCCTGACATGCGCACTAAAAACGACATGAGATACATTGCCCATCACATTCCTGACATGCGCACTAACAATATATAAATTGATTTTATCTATTGAATAATTTACATTTCATCTAATTTTAAACACATGTTTTTCTACTCACCAAATGAAATGACTAGCTATTACCCGGTGGAAATGAAGGACAATTAGATGAATTTTTTTATAGGCTTCAAGATCACAAATTTAACGAATTTCCCCAAAACTTTTGAAGATTACGACGAATTCAAAAAATTGTTTACTATATAATTCAAGATTTTCTAAAGGTGAGCTCTTGGTGCATTTGCGATCTAGTGACCTGTACAGAGGTCTCGTACCTGGACGGCGTCAAATGTTCTTCATGGAAGCCGTTTCCAACCTGTGGTCCGCATACCCCTGGGGTACGCTGCAGGACGTTTTGGGGGTACCCAAACTAAAAGTTTGAGAATGGCGGAAAACGGCTTTAAAAAAAAGATTTTAATGCACCCATTTCTTTGCGAGTAGCCATATACCAATACTTAAGGTATATAACAACAAATTATATCTACAGATATATTTTTCGAATAAAATTAATAATTTTATCACCATGTTGTTGTTACATCAAAGTTCGATGTTGATCGTTTTTATCGATTTCATTCCGTTTCATGGTCAAGTTAAACTGCAATTTTATTTTTGAGAGTTTTAGGATTGTGAGTTGTGAATGAAACTGAACTGAGGCGTTGAATAGCAAGTTAAAGTCTCTTACTCTAGATGTCATTGGCTTTATCTCATTAAAGCGTCACCTGTCATCAAGGTGGGATGGCATCAATGTCTCTTTGCGTCAATGTCACATGACATCAAGGGCACAAGGTCACAATACATAAAGGCCATATGACATCAATGTCTCTTTGCATCAATGTCTCATAGCGTCAAAGTCACGTGGCATCAAGGGTAATTACACGAAGGTCACATGACATCAATGTCTCGTAGCGTCAAAGGGGCATGGCATCTAGATCACATGACATAATTTTCATTTTTTTAGCGCTAAGCGTTGTATCATTTGTTGTGACATCTTTGTTTTTACTCTAATGTCAAAGCAAACTGTGCAGCAGATGTCAAGTGAATGTTAAAATATCGGACGAGTAGACTTGGTAGTGGCAACTGGTGCTTGACAAAACACTGAAAAGGTTTGCAATCAATGTCCTTTGTTTTGCAACTATTCTTTGGGACGGGTATGTGAACTACTAACTTACTGACAAAGTTAAGAAAGTGTAAATAGGCGTAGCTGTAGTCAATGCAACCCTCCCCCCCTCCGCCCCGGTGGGTCAAGATTTTTGCCGCCACCTATGCAGTTTTCCGAAAACGCCGCACTTACATAAAAAGAAAAAAAAAATGTCTTCCGAGGCGGACCTCTACTTCGCACCCCCCCCCCACCCCTCTCTTTGCCTACGCCAGGAATACTGTGGCAATTAGTCCAAGTCATTGGAGGCATGAATGCTAACATTAGGTCATCCAATGGGTCTACAAACTTATCTTTAATGTTCAATTGTCCTAAAACATGGTCATCAAGCCTTAATTATCTGACTTATTTTATTAATTTCATTGACAGAGTCCTGGATCAGCTTGATTGACAGAGTCCTGGTTGATCGACTTCCGTGACAGAGTGATTGATAGGTGCCAGTGACACGTCCTGGATAAGTTTGACAGAAAGCTGGATCAACTTGTCCTGACGAAAGAGCTGTGCCACAGGACCGAAACATAATTGTAAACACGCGTCTCCCCCTTGTGTCAAGTGTGTCCTTAAATGTGTCCTTCAATATGTCCTTCAGTGTGTCCTTCATGTTTACAAACCTGCACAGTTATTGAAGTGATAAAGGTAAAGTCTAAAGACCTTCAAGTTAAAGTCTAAAGATCTTCAATGTAAATTCTAAAGACCTTCAAGGTAAAGTCTAAAGACCTTCAATGTAAAGCCTAAAGACCTTCAACCAAAAGTAGAAAAGCCTAATCTAAAGATTTCAAATGACATCAGACATTAAGACTCGGTCCTTGATTCCTGGAATGAACAGATGAAAGGATTAAGAACATAGACCGACGCCAGACTTTTCATTCTATGTCATCATATATCACAAAAACACATAGCTACACTGTCACTTTCGTTGCACTGTCACATAGTAAAACACTGTCACATAGTTACACTGTCACATAGTTACCCTGTCACATAGTTACACTGTCACATAGTTACACTGTCACATAGTTACACTGTCACATAGTTACCCTGTCACATAGTAAAACACTGTCACATAGTTACCCTGTCACATAGTTACCCTGTCACATAGTTACACTGTCACATAGTTACCCTGTCACATAGTTACACTGTCACATAGTTACACTGTCACATAGTTACACTGTCACATAGTTACACTGTCACATAGTTACCCTGTCACATAGTTACACTGTCACATAGTTACACTGTCACATAGTTACACTGTCACATAGTTACACTGTCACATAGTTACACTGTCACATAGTTACACTGTCACATAGTTACACTGTCACATAGTTACACTGTCACATAGTTACACTGTCACATAGTTACACTGTCACATAGTTACACTGTCACATAGTTACACTGTCACATAGTTACCCTGTCACATAGTTACACTGTCACATAGTTACACTGTCACATAGTTACACTGTCACATAGTTACACTGTCACATAGTTACCCTGTCACATAGTTACACTGTCACATAGTTACACTGTCACATAGTTACACTGTCACATAGTTACACTGTCACATAGTTACACTGTCACATAGTTACACTGTCACATAGTTACCCTGTCACATTTCTAGACCAGAAAATGCCGACGGAGATCAAAGTTGTTATTCCTCTGACCTATGACGATGACGTCGATGATAATTTCAATGAAAATGATAACGTCATCAAAAGCGTCAAAGAAGAAAATGTCAGGAAATATCCGGAATCGTCTGCATCAGCCGTCAATGTCAAAGACGTGTCTTACGTCACGGCTACTGATGTGAGTAATATGAAGGAGACTTCTCACAGTCGGACTCACAGATTCCGTACAAGACAATCTTCCACTAAAAGGAATGCGTCAACAGAACACAACACGTCAGCGGATACTAAAGTCTTGCTTACGTCACAGCATCGTATCCCACTGGACCTGGACCAGGACGACAAAGTCTTACTGGACATGGGTCAAGGACGAGGCAGCGCCCAAAATCCAACAAGGCCTAAGGTCTGGGAAATGTAACATGTTCAAAAGTTGATGTCGTATTTATTATTCAATTTGACACAGAAATAGCTTAGACAACATGAATGTAACATTATTTGGTGACGATGTCTTCATTCCTTGTGGTTAACTTGGAGAAATATGAAGGGAGGTGTATGAATGGATATGGCTGAAGGGAGATGTCGGAAGGGAGATGTCTCAAGGGAGATGTATGAAAGTAGATGTTTGAAAGGAGATGTATGTAGAAAGATGTATGTAGAAAGATGTATGTAGAGAAATGTATGTAGACAGATGTATGTAGAGAGATGTATGTAGAGAAATATATGTAGAGAGATGTATGTAGAGAGATGTATGTAGAGAGATGTATGTAGAAAGATGTATGTAGAGAAATGTATGTAGAGAAATGTATGTAGAGAGATGTATGTAGAGAAATGTATGTAGAGAGATGTATGTAGAGAGATGTATGTAGAGAGAAGTATGTAGAGAGATGTCTGAAGGAAGATGTCTGAAGGGAGATGTATGAAGAGAGATATATGTAGAGAGATATATGTAGAGAGATGCATGTAGAGAGATGTGTGTAGAGAGATGCGTGTAGAGAGATGTATGAGGAGAGATGCATGTAGAGAGATGTATGTAGAAAGATGTATGTAGAGAGATGTATGTAGAGAGATGTATGTAGAGAGATGTATGTAGAGAGATGTATGTAGGTAGATGTATGAAGAGAGATGTATGTAGAGAGATGTATGTAGAGAGAAGTATGTAGAGAGATGTCTGAAGGGAGATGTCTGAAGGGAGATGTCTGAAGGGAGATGTCTGAAGGGAGATTTATGAAGAGAGATGTATGAAGAGAGATGTATTTAGAGAGATATATGTAGAGAGATGTATGAGGAAAGATGTATGTAGAGAGATGTGTGTAGAGAGATGTATGTAGAGAGATGTGTGTAGAGAGATATATGTAGAGAGATGCATGTAGAGAGATGTATGTAGAGAGATGCATGTAGAGAGATGTATGTAGAGAGATGTATGTAGAGAGATGTCTGTAGAGAGATGTGTGTAGAGAGATGTGTGTAGAGAGATGTATGTAGAGAGATGCATGTAGAGAGATATATGTAGAGAGATGTATGTAGAGAGATGCATGTAGAGAGATGTATGAGGAGAGATGTATTTAGAGAGATGTATGCAGATAGATGTGTGTAGAGAGATGTATGTAGAGAGATGAATGTAGAGGGATGTATTTAGAGAGATGTGTGAAGAGAGATGTATGTAGAGAGATGTATGTAGAGAGATGTATTTAGAGAGATGTGTGTAGAGAGATGTGTGTAGAGAGATGTATTTAGAGAGATGTATGTAGAGAGATGTATGAAGAGAGATGTGTGTAGAGAGATGTATGTAGAGAGATGTATTTAGAGAGATGTATGTAGAGATGTATGTAGATAGATATATGAGGAGAGATGAATGTAGAGAGATGTGTGTAGAGAGATGTATGTAGAGAGATGTATGTAGGGAGATGTGTGTGGAAAGATGTGTGTAGAGAGATGCATGTAGAGAGATGTATGAGGAGAGATGCATGTAGAGAGATGTGTGTAGAGAGATGTTTGTAGAGAGACATATGAGGAGAGATGCATGTAGAGAGATGCATGTAGAGAGATGTGTGTAGAGAGTTGTATGTAGAGAGATGTATGTAGAGAGATGTATGTAGAGAGATGTATGTAGAGAGATGTATGTAGAGATGTATGTAGATAGATATATGAGGAGAGATGAATGTAGAGAGATGTGTGTAGAGAGATGTATGTAGAGAGATGTATGTAGGGAGATGTGTGTGGAAAGATGTGTGTAGAGAGATGCATGTAGAGAGATGTATTTAGAGAGATGTGTGTAGAGAGATGTGTGTAGAGAGATGTATTTAGAGAGATGTATGTAGAGAGATGTATGAAGAGAGATGTGTGTAGAGAGATGTATGTAGAGAGATGTATTTAGAGAGATGTATGTAGAGATGTATGTAGATAGATATATGAGGAGAGATGAATGTAGAGAGATGTGTGTAGAGAGATGTATGTAGAGAGATGTATGTAGGGAGATGTGTGTGGAAAGATGTGTGTAGAGAGATGCATGTAGAGAGATGTATGAGGAGAGATGCATGTAGAGAGATGTGTGTAGAGAGATGTTTGTAGAGAGACATATGAGGAGAGATGCATGTAGAGAGATGCATGTAGAGAGATGTGTGTAGAGAGATGTATGTAGAGAGATGTATGTAGAGAGATGTATGTAGAGAGATGTATGTAGAGAGATGTTTGTAGAGAGATGTGTGTAGAGAGATGTATTTAGAGAGATGTGTGTAGAGAGATGTATGTAGAGAGATGTATGTAGAGAGATGTGTGTAGAGAGATGTGTGTAGAGAGATGTGTGCAGAGAGATGTATTTAGAGAGCTGTGTGTAGAGAGATGTGTGTAGAGAGATGTATGTAGAGAGATGTATGTAGAGAGATGTGTGTAGAGAGATGTATGTAGAGAGATGTATGTAGAGAGATGTGTGTAGAGAGATGTGTGTAGAGAGATGTATGTAGAGAGATGTATGTAGAGAGATGTATTTAGAGAGATGTTTGTAGAGAGATGTGTGTAGTGAGATGTATTTAGAGAGATGTATGTAGAGAGACGTATGTAGAGAGTTGTATGTAGAGAGATGTATTTAGAGAGATGTATGTAGAGATGTATGTAGAGAGATATATGATGAGAGATGAATATAGAGAGATGTGTGTAGAGAGATTATGTATAGAGATGTATGTAGAGAGATGTATGTAGAGAGATGTATGTAGAGAGATGTATGTAGAGAGATGTGTGTAGAAAGATGTGTGTAGAGAGATGTATGTAGAGAGATGTCTGAAGGGAGATGTCTGAAGGGAGATGTCTGAAGGGAGATGTCTGAAGGGAGATGTATGTAGAGAGATGTATGTAGAGAAATGTATGTAGAGAGAAGTATGTAGAGAGATGTCTGAAGGAAGATGTCTGAAGGTAGATGTATGTAGAGAGATGTATGTAGATAGATATATGTAGAGAGATGTATGTAGAGAGATGTATGTAGAGAGATGTATGTAGAGAGATGTGTGTAGAGCGATGTGTGTAGAGCGATGTGTGTAGAGCGATGTGTGTAGAGAGATGTGTGTAGAGAGATGTGTGTAGAGAGATGTGTGTAGAGAGATGTGTGTAGAGAGATGTGTGTAGGGAGGCGTATAAAGGGAAATAAATGTAAGGAGACGTTTGAAGGGAGATAGTATGAAGGGAGATGTATGAAAGAAGATTTATATAGGGAAACAGATTAAGGGACATACATGTAGGTATATGTATGAAAGGAAATGTATACAGTGAAATGTTTGAAAGGAGATTATGTTGGAAAATGTGTGAAATTTCAAATAACTAGTGTCATATTGACATTTCAAATAACTAGTGTCATATTGACATTTCAAATAACTAGTGTCATATTGAAATTTCAAATAACTAGTGTCATATTGAAATTTCAAATAACTAGTGTCATATTGACATTTCAAATAACTAGTGTCATATTGACATTTCAAATAACTAGTGTCATATTGACATTTCAAATAACTAGTGTCATATTGACATTTCAAATAACTAGTGTCATATTGACATTTCAAATAACTAGTGTCATATTGACATTTCAAATAACTAGTGTCATATTGAAATTTCAAATAACTAGTGTCATATTGACATTTCAAATAACTAGTGTCATATTGAAATTTCAAATAACTAGTGTCATATTGACATTTCAAATAACTAGTGTCATATTGAAAGTTCAAATGGGCTCTTTCCGGTTTATTATTTTCTTTCCAGACCTGTCATGGCCAGCGAGAGGGTCAGCGAACAGGTCAATGCGTCCATCTGTCCATCTCGGGGACATATGGTAAGAATACTTTCATTATACTTATTTAACATTTCAGTATTAATAATTAGTTGGGTAACTCTGACCAAATCTGTCGTTTGAGTGTTTTTTTTTATTCTAACCTTTATATAATTAAATGTATCAATCAGGCTGAGGCTAAGATTGTCGACTGAGACTAGGGTTTCAAGACTGACCCTAGTATTGCAAGGTTGAGACTAGTGTTGCCAGTTTTTAGACTCTGGTTGCCTAAAATTCACCCCAACCCATCACCTTGTGGTCATACTGAGAAGGAAGACCAATCACCTTGTGGTTACACTGAGGTGGTCGACCAATCACCTTGTGGTCATACTGAGGTGGTAGACCCATCACCTTGTGGTCACACTGAGGTGGTAGACCCATAACCTTGTGGTCACACTGAGGTGGTAGACCCATCACCTTGTGGTCACACTGAGGTGGTAGACCCATCACCTTGTGGTCACACTGAGGTGGTAGACCCATCACATTGTGGTCACACTGAATGGTAGACCCATCACATTGTGGTCACACTGAGGTGGTAGACCAATCACCTTGTGGTCACACTGAAGTGTTAGACCCATCACCTTGTGGTCACACTGAGGTGGTAGACCCATCACCTTGTGGTCACCCCTCTATCAGTGCATAATGGCCTATAACAGCATTGTGGGCGCATCCCAAGAGTTTGATAGTAAGGGGAGATAAATGCTTAAACATGAGTCCAGGGGTCACGTTCCTTGGTTCTACTTTCCCCTTCTTAACATCATCTTCTAAACGAGCTGGCCACATCGGTCCATGGGAAATGCTAGATGGCCACATCGGTCCATGGGAAATGCTAGCTGGCCACATCGGTCCATGGGAAATGCTAGATGGCCACATCGGTCCATGGGAAATGCTAGATGGCCACATCGGTCCATGTGAAATGCTAGATGGCCACATCGGTCCATGTGAAATGCTAGATGGCCACATCGGTCCATGTGAAATGCTAGATGGCCACATCGGTCCATGTGAAATGCTAGATGGCCACATCGGTCCATGTGAAATGCTAGATGGCCACATCGGTCCATGTGAAATGCTAGATGGCCACATCGGTCCATGTGAAATGCTAGATGGCCACATCGGTCCATGTGAAATGCTAGATGGCCACATCGGTCCATGTGAAATGCTAGATGGCCACATCGGTCCATGTGAAATGCTAGATGGCCACATCGGTCCATGTGAAATGCTAGATGGCCACATCGGTCCATGTGAAATGCTAGATGGCCACATCGGTCCATGTGAAATGCTAGATGGCCACATCGGTCCATGTGAAATGCTAGATGGCCACATCGGTCCATGTGAAATGCTAGATGGCCACATCGGTCCATGTGAAATGCTAGATGGCCACATCGGTCCATGTGAAATGCTAGATGGCCACATCGGTCCATGTGAAATGCTAGATGGCCACATCGGTCCATGTGAAATGCTAGATGGCCACATCGGTCCATGTGAAATGCTAGATGGCCACATCGGTCCATGTGAAATGCTAGATGGCCACATCGGTCCATGTGAAATGCTAGATGGCCACATCGGTCCATGTGAAATGCTAGATGGCCACATCGGTCCATGTGAAATGCTAGATGGCCACATCGGTCCATGTGAAATGCTAGATGGCCACATCGGTCCATGTGAAATGCTAGATGGCCACATCGGTCCATGTGAAATGCTAGATGGCCACATCGGTCCATGTGAAATGCTAGATGGCCACATCGGTCCATGTGAAATGCTAGATGGCCACATCGGTCCATGTGAAATGCTAGATGGCCACATCGGTCCATGTGAAATGCTAGATGGCCACATCGGTCCATGTGAAATGCTAGATGGCCACATCGGTCCATGTGAAATGCTAGATGGCCACATCGGTCCATGTGAAATGCTAGATGGCCACATCGGTCCATGTGAAATGCTAGATGGCCACATCGGTCCATGTGAAATGCTAGATGGCCACATCGGTCCATGTGAAATGCTAGATGGCCACATCGGTCCATGTGAAATGCTAGATGGCCACATCGGTCCATGTGAAATGCTAGATGGCCACATCGGTCCATGTGAAATGCTAGATGGCCACATCGGTCCATGTGAAATGCTAGATGGCCACATCGGTCCATGTGAAATGCTAGATGGCCACATCGGTCCATGTGAAATGCTAGATGGCCACATCGGTCCATGTGAAATGCTAGGGAAATGGACGGGATGATTACATCAGACCTGATAACTGTTCCACGAGAGTGGGGATAGATTCAGTACGAGAAATTACTACAACAGAAGGTCTTACAGTTTTACATTGACATGTCTGGACAAAACTGTCTGCGACGTGGGCACATCTAGCTTAAACGTTTACCAAATGTACTTTAATGACACGTCGGGTGCAGTTCTTGGTGCTAGAGAATCTTTCATAATGATTTGTGTTGACACTATCGAGAGACCTAAATGGCACAGCGGTTCATCAATGAGATGACGTCAAACTTTATGGTACTTACTAGCTGGGACAACGCAACATGGTGCAACATACGAAAAGATGTGCATAATTTATGATAATTTCCAGGTGGCGCTGCAACTATCCAACAATGATTATATGTTTTGAGGGGGGGAGGGGGGTTGTGGTAATGAGGATGTTGTCGATGGCTTGTATGTTGTCAGTGAGTGTAGCGATGGTCGTAGCAGTTAGCATAGTTATGAGTGTAGCAAAAAGGGTAGTAAAGAGTGTAACAATGAGTGTAGCAAAGAGCGTAGCTATGAGTGTTGCAAGGAGTGTAGCATTGAGTGTAGCGAAGAGCGTAGCAATGCGTGTAGCAATATCATAGCAATGAATGTAGCAATGAGTGTATGTAGCAATGAGTGTATGAAGCAATGAGTGTACAAAATCAATAAACGCAGGAAATCAATGACCACATACCCGTGAATACCCGTGAATACCCCTGCCTGTTCAAAAACCTTCCCATGAGGGTAGGAAATCAATACCGTACTTCAACACCAGTCAGAGCTCAGAGCAACTTCCAATCCCATGTCAGTATGTCAACTCCAGTCAAAGGTCATAGCAACCTAAAACCCTATGTCAGAATGTCAACTCCAGTCAGAGGTCATAGCAACCTCCAACCCTAAGTCAGTAGGCGTAAAAATATAGAGCAGCCACAAGTCGCTAGTCCAGCATTTAAGTTATAGACTAATGTTAATTTGAAACAAAATATGTTGAAGCCTAATGTCAAGGATTGTTTGTAGTTCAACCACTGGCGAATTGTTATTAAACAGAACTACGACGATTTCATTTTTACTTTTGTACATAGATAACATATTTTTTTATAATTATTATTTTATTTCTTTATTTTCTAAACGGAAAATGAATGCAGGCAGATTTTTATTTCTGAAATCATTTTGTTATAAATTCTTTAGTTTGTTTAAATGTTTGCTTGCTACGTTTTAGATCAGGTGTAGGACACATGACACACTGAGTGGTAGGACACATAACACACTGAGTGGTAGGACACATAACACACTGAGTGGTAGGACACGTGACACACTGAGTGGTAGGACACGTGACACACTGAGTGGTAGGACACATGACACACTGAGTGGTAGGACACATGACACACTGAGTGGTAGGGCACATGACACACTGAGTGGTAGGACAAATGACACAGTGAGTGGTAGGACACGTGACACACTGAGTGGTAGGACACATGACACACTGAGTGGTTGGACACGTGACACACTGAGTGGTAGGAAACGGGACACACTGAGTGGTTGGACACGTGACACACTGAGTGGTAGGACACGTGACACATTGAATCGTAAGACACGTGACACATTGAATCGTAAGACACGTGACACACTGAATCGTAAAACACGTGACATATTGAGTCGTAGCTCACGTGACAAACAACGCCTCTCAATTGAAGTTTTTTGTGAAATGCCACACCCCCCCACCCCGTGTGTTGATCCTGGTTATGGATCTCTCCCCCCCTCCCAACGTTACTACCACCCTTGCCATTGAGTTTCTTCCCCCATGTACCACCGCCTCTGCCATTGAGCCCCCCACCCCCTCAGTTACCACCGCCCCTGCCTCTACAGAGCCAGAGAGACAGGCCAGGCGATAGCGGCTTTGTTGGGCCGTTTCGGGTCGATATCCCTATCTCGCCGCGGAGTACATGGCACGACTTTTTCAACATGGCGACCTCTGTGTTGTTTTCCTCAGCGTCCCTACAATCATAGGATCTTTTCGGTCAACACAGCCAGTCTTACCCGCGTGTTAGTATCGAGTCATTCATCGATTACTCTCTACAAAATTCGGACATGTAACTTAGTTCGTTGACTTACGCTCAGTGATAATCATAATAACTGTTCATCTTAAAATTTATCCATGAAATGCTCAAAGACTTGTTTCTTGGCCAAATCAACCTCAGACACGGCAGCCACCGATAAAAAGTTGGTCAACGTGTTCGAGATCCAGGCATCGCTGAGAAGGTAAGTGGTTTTGAATCCCTGTTCTTGTGTTGAAGCTTTCCGTGACACCTGTGTGAACATGTTTCATTCCAGACATTGATGTGGAGCACCGTGACATCATGGTCAAGGCACTCAGGGCCTACAGCAGGCATCGGTTCAATGACAGTGGGGGCTCGTACACGAATAATAACAGAGATCCCGCTCGCGAACAGAACTGCGATAGTCAGGTCGGCAAAAGGACCGAGGGGGTCAAAGGTCAGTTAGACCAAGACGTTACCCAAATCCCAGGTGCCCCTGGTGCAGACGCCAATGGCTCCAACCGAGATTTCAGATTATCCCAGTGCCGGCTAAAGTTCCATGACGATATTGATTTCATGACGTCCATGCCAAGGGGTAGAGGACCCTCTCTGTCGGTTAAACGGAAACCTTTGATGACGTCATCGCCAGCTGTCGTCACGGCCGTGCCCACCTTGTACGCTCTCGAGGAGTCGGATGGGATCATAGCTGACGCCGTGGGCCATGTTTACCAACACAAGAGGGTACGCCCATGGACGGCACTGCCAGGGAAATACGTGGAGTATGTCCGGGTGAACACATCGGACACGCCTGAAAACTTAAACATCAGGTAGATTGGTTATTGGGTAATCATTACGGATTCTTACCGATGTACGATGTCATCGCTTGGCCATACACAGTATCCATGTTAACTATGGAACGGTGTAACAATGTATCAATATTTTACACTTCGCTATTATGGAACGATATATTATTAACATATAGCTTTGTGACGATCAAGTCCACCCTTTTATAACCGTACACCCCGAACATCCCAACTCCCCCCCCCCAACATCCCAACACTACTACCACCCCCAACACCCTCAACCTCCTCTACCACCCATCACCCCAACACCCCCGATCCCAACACACCTCAGCCCCTTCAACAACCCAATCACATCAAAACCCTCAACACCACAACACCATCCCCCTAGTACTCAACACCACAACACCATCCCCCTAGTACTCAACACCACAACACCATCCCCCTAGTACTCAACACCACAACACCATCCCCCTAGTACTCAACACCACAACACCATCCCCCTAGTACTCAACACCACAACACCATCCCCCTAGTACTCAACACCACAACACCATCCCCCTAGTACTCAACACCACAACACCATCCCCCTAGTACTCAACACCACAACACCATCCCCCTAGTACTCAACACCACAACACCATCCCCCTAGTACTCAACACCACAACACCATCCCCCTAGTACTCAACACCACAACACCATCCCCCTAGTACTCAACACCACAACACCATCCCCCTAGTACTCAACACCACAACACCATCCCCCTAGTACTCAACACCACAACACCATCCCCCCAGTACTCAACAACTCAACATCCCACAATCCCTTAAACCCCCAACTCCTTCAATCCCAGCCCCCCGCCCCTCACTTCTTTTGTTCCACGTTTCCCTCCCCTTATGTACCTACTGAGTGATCAAAAAAATACAAACACATGTATGCCCTAATCCCAGTAACTTTGAGGAACAAGCAAAATTGAAATCTCTCTCAAAGACAACAAGAATTATTTACTGCTTGCGACATCTAGAATGCTCATTTAACTAGACACAAGAACTCATGTCATTAATTTAAATTATACCCACACAAAAAACCCCGATTACTTCGGTAGACAACAGCAACTCAAGAACAGACAACTCTAGCGTTTAAACGGCACCAGGTGCACATATTCACCCCCCCCCCTTTTTTCACCCCCACAATCGCTCACAGTACTCACACGCCTCGTGTGCCTTGTAAAGTATCGATCGGCCGTTCACTGACTGCTGTTCTTATCTATCCACAGAGCCAGCGACACAGGCCGCACCAGCAGTTCGTCTCACGCTGTCGTCCCGCCCACCCGCCGACGCAGCACATCCAGTACCGCCCCTGGTCGCCATCCCAGCACCGCCCCTAGCCACCACCCCAGCACCGTCCCTAGCCATCCCCCAAGCACCGCCCCTAGCCCCCAGCCCAGAAACGCCCCTAGCCCCCAACACCGTGTGGGGACGCGAAGTATGAGTGACAACGTCCCCCACTCCATGGCTTTCCAACGCAGAAACAGAACCACTCACATCTGGACTGACGGCAGCCAGCTGATGAGCACGAGCCTACCCACCGGAAGTTTCCTGCATCAGCACGTCAATAGCTCGTTACTGTCGTCCCCAAGGTCTTCACGGAGCACCGCTTCGGAAAAGACGTCGCCCGCGGGAAAACCTTCTCGCCCCAGTTCGTCTTACTCCTACGATGGCGGATTTTTTCTCGGGGCACATTCCGGACACGCCGAGTATTTTGTCATTCACCCGGATTGGGTGTCCGAGGCTGTCAGTATCAAGAAGTTGTCGATAGGCTCCAAGCCCAGCACGCCCCCGGTATCCAAGAGTGCGAGCTTCAGAGGGGGCAACTGGTGTGGGCGCAGGTGCTTGAGTGCCCCACCTGCTAAGCGCAGGAACCCTATCACGTGGGACGTGAGTGACCCTATTGATATCCCAGCTAAACCATGAGACGTTGTACAGACACTTCGATCACGTGACGCGTTCTAGTGAGTCGTGACGTCATCCCAGTTACCGGTCTTTAAGGTGTGAATTATAATCTATTGGTAATCGTTTAGTTGTTTTCACGCAGTTTTTTTTTTTTTTAGGAGGAATCGATTCTGACCAGATATTCGTAAATTATTGTGTTATTTCTTCTGTTCTGGATGCTAAAATATTTTCATAACCAGATAACGATACAGCGAGCCACTTGAAATAAATCAATGGAACGATTATCCACAGTAAAATATGGTATATTTCTCAGAATGCGTAAAAACAAATCAAACTGACTGACAGCAAGGCAAGCACAATGAAGGATGCAATTGTCAAACTCATTAACATGAACTACCAGCTAGACTTAGATTTGAATCAGATAACCTTCTACCACACACAGAAATATCAGGTTTTTATTGTTACCAAACGGGATAAGGAGAATTTCAGACCTGGATTATTATAACATTTTATTATCTTTCAAATTGCATCATAGGATGTTCACCATTTTATCCCAGGGCTTCCCAGGGCCAGAGAGCAGTTTTAGATCCTTTTGACAACTCTGGGACACATTTTCCCTTTGGGATAACAAAACATTCATACAGGCTGACATCAAAATATTGTGGGGAAAATGAAAGATGTTTTGTTTTATATTTAAATTGATGCAAGGTTTATTGCGTTGTCTTGGTTAATATTTTGTTTTTATTTTCGCTTCGATTCGACTTCAACTCATTTGATCAGAGCACTTACTAGTGGCGTAGTGGCGAATTCTGAACCTTTTCAATCTTGATATTTCTTTGATGCATTCTCCCCTATTCTATGAAGTCTGTGTCAGCTATTCACTTAACATCTAACAGCTGTAAGATTACTTGGCACAAAGATTGCTGCAAGATTACTTGGCACAAAGATTGCTGCAAGATTAATTGGCACAAAGATTGCTGTAAGTTTACTTGGCACAAAGATCGCTGTAAGATTACTTGGCATAAAGATTGCTGTTAGTTGAAAGTCCATGTTGTTCATTAAGTTTTGTAACTCGTTCAAGCTACAAGCTCAGAACACGGACGCCTGCCTTCGTTAATTGAAGTGCTGATGCTCATCTAGGTAATGTTCTCAAAGACCAGGACATCTGCTACTGCTGCTAAACAGCCCTTATTGTTTCCCCGCATGCATCGCTTGCTTGTCAGGACTTATTGTATAAATGTACATATTTTTCCTGGGTGTCCTTGTATGTTAGGCTTAATACTTTGAGCATTTATGTTGAATGTGGGCGCACAATTGATCCATTGTCTTATCGTGGCTTTGGTCAAATTTACAACTTAATTATCAGCACGGTGAAACTTAATCTTGGTCTAGCTTGCGTAAGATTTAGGAAAATTGAATTTGGTCTTAAAAATATTCTTTCAATAGATCGATGGGCTTTGATTGGTTGACAAACTGGGATTGTTGACAGCTGTGACAGGCAGCTGTGACTGACTATAGTTATTGGCACTTAAGAATGACACCTTTATTGACAGCTGAAAATGACACACTTAATGACACCTGACACTGACACACTTATTGACACCTGAGAATGACGCTATTCATAGCTGAGAATGACACATTATTGACAGATGATACTGATAATAATAATAATAATAATAATAATAATAAAGATTATTTAAGAAATCACGCTTCATCCCCAAAGGCTCGAAGCGCGGTATTAAACCTGAGACTGACACACTAATCTTATTGACACCTTAGACTGACACACTTATTGACACCTGAGACTGACACACTTATTGACACCTGAGACTGACACACTTATTGACACCTGAGACTGACACATTAATCTTATTGACACCTGAGACCGACACACTTATTGACACCTGAGACTAACACACTAATCTTATTGACACCTGAGACTGACACATTAATCTTATTGGCACATGAGACCTACACACTAATCTTATTGGCACCTGAGACTGACAGACTAATCTTATTGGCACATGAAACTGACACACTAATCTTATTGGCACCTGAGACTGACACACTAATCTTATTGATACATGAGGCTGACACACTATTCTTATTGGCACATGAGACTGACACACTTATTGACACCTGAGACTAACACACTAATCTTATTGACACCTGAGACTGACACATTAATCTTATTGACACCTGAGACCGACACACTTATTGACACCTGAGACTGACACACTAATCTTATTGACACCTGAGACTGACACATTAATCTTATTGGCACATGAGACCAACACAATAATCTTATTGGCACCTGAGACTGGCACACTTATTGACACCTGAGACTGACAGACTAATCTTATTGGCACATGAAACTGACACACTAATCTTATTGACACCTGAGACTGACAGACTAATCTTATTGGCACATGAAACTGACACACTAATCTTATTGGCACCTGAGACTGACACACTAATCTTATTGACACATGAGGCTGACACACTATTCTTATTGGCACATGAGACTGACACACTTATTGACACCTGAGACTGACACACTAATCTTATTGACACCTGAGACTGACACATTAATCTTATTGGCACATGAGACGAACACAATAATCTTATTGGCACCTGAGACTGGCACACTTATTGACATCTGAGACTGACACACTAATCTTAATGACACCTGAGACTGACACACTAATCTTATTGACACCTGAGACTGACACACTATTCTTATTGGCACATGAGACTGACACACTTATTGACACCTGAGACTGACACATTATTCTTATTGACAGATGAGACCAACACACTAATCTTATTGGCACCTGAGACTGGCACACTTATTGATACCTTAGATTGACACACTAATCTTATAGACACCTGAGACTGACAGACTAATCTTATTGGCACCTGAGACCGACACACTTTTGACAGATGAGTCCGACACACTTATTGACAGATGAGTCCGACACACTTATTGAAGATTTTGAAGTGGTTAAGATGTGTGGTCAAGAGTGGTATAGACATTAATGTTGTTGGGTGAGACCCTTTGGGCGCATATTATTCTGTTTATAAATCAGTTCTATGTATGTGCCATCTTTAGTTGAGCTGAAATGGTACTGTTTGCAAGACCACCAACATAATGTTGATATCTCTCATTGGAGAATTGAGCTACGATCAACGTGGCTTTCAAATCGAAGTTGCTTGATTACACTTATAGTAGACAGAGAGACTTCATTCTCAATGTGATGTCATAAGTTTGTGACCCACCCACCCCCACCCCTTCTGTACTAGGTATGAAGTAGAGCTATCACAAGACTCTCTATGCCACGAGCATGGGGAAATATGATAATACATTTACTAGTATAAAGAGAATATGACCTGGACATGACAGCAGGCATACAATAGATTTACAAGAAAATCATAAGCTAGATTTAGTCAAAAAATGTCATTTGAAGGTAATCATCATCTAAAATTGATCATAGATGTCATTTGAATGTAATCATTATCTAAAATTAGTTACAGATGTCATTTGAAGGTAATTATTAGCTAAAGTCGGTCACAGGTGTCATTTGAAGGTAATCATTAGCTAAAGTCGGCAACAGATGTCATTTGAAGTTAGCTTAAGTTGGTCACAGATGTCACAAGCTTGCTGAGCTTGTCTAATGTCTTGTTGTAAGTTCTTGTAACCTCCCATGAATGCCATGCCATGCCATGCCATGAATGCCATGCCATGCCATGAGTAATGTACTTAATAAAATCCAATTATAACACGTGAGTTTGTTGCAACCTTTTCATTATTTGATTATGTTTATCCTGAAGTGAGAATGACTGTCGTATTCAACAAACAGCTGGTGAAATGTTAATATTATATGCTTCACAGCCAACAGAACTATGTGCTAGTATGTCTTTGTTGTGTTCTTATTTGTATGGGATCCAAGGGCTTCATAACTGATTAGATGTCCAGTTCATATCCCCTTTGAACTAACCCGAACCCTTAAACCTAATCCTTTGAACTAGGGGAGAAACTAGAGATGCAAGTATTTGTTATATTATATCATTTTAATGTGATGTGAATAAATATAATCTTAGCGGTCTGATTAGTTTTTATATGTTGATGGAAATCACTCACAGGTTGAATGATGGATCCGTTTATTGATTGAGGAAGTTATTTTATGTTGATATCAATCACTCACAGATTCAACGATGTATCCATTGATTGATTGAGGAAGTTATTTTATGTGGATGGAAATCACTCACAGATGCAATGATGTATCCATTGATTGATTATGGAAGTTATTTTATCTGGATGGAAATCATTCACAGATTCGACCATGTATCCATTGATTGATTGAGGAAGTTATTTTATGTTGATAGCAATCACTCACAGATGCAATGATGTATCCATTGATTGATTGAGGAAGTTATTTTATGTTGATAGCAATCACTCACAGATTCAATGATGTATCCATTGATTGATTGAGGAAGTTATTTTATGTTGATAGCAATCACTCACAGATTCAACGATGTATCCATTGATTGATTGAGGAAGTTATTTTATGTTGATAGCAATCACTCACAGATTCAATGATGTATCCATTGATTGATTGAGGAAGTTATTTTATGTTGATAGCAATCACTCAGAGATTCAATGATGTATCCATTGATTGATTGAGGAAGTTATTTTATGTTGATAGCAATCACTCACAGATTCAACGATGTATCCATTGATTGATTGAGGAAGTTATTTTATGTTGATAGCAATCACTCACAGATTCAATGATGTATCCATTAATTGATTGAGGAAGTCATTTTATGTTGATAGCAATCACTCACAGATTCAACGATGTATCCATTGATTGATTGAGGAAGTTATTTTATGTTGATAGCAATCACTCACAGATTCAATGATGTATCCATTGATTGATTGAGGAAGTTATTTTATGTTGATAGCAATCACTCAGAGATTCAATGATGTATCCATTGATTGATTGAGGAAGTTATTTTATGTTGATAGCAATCACTCACAGATTCAACGATGTATCCATTGATTGATTGAGGAAGTTATTTTATGTTGATAGCAATCACTCACAGATTCAATGATGTATCCATTAATTGATTGAGGAAGTCATTTTATGTTGATAGCAATCACTCACAGATGCAATGATGTATCCATTGATTGATTGAGGAAGTTATTTTATGTTGATAGCAATCACTCACAGATTCAATGATGTATCCATTGATTGATTGAGGAAGTTATTTTATGTGGTTAAAAAGCCCAATAAGCATTTCCAACATTTTCTTGATAGGAAAGTAGTTTTATTGTGGACGTCAGACTTCACTTCAGTTTCTAACTCCTTGAGTATTTACACTAGGCAATGAACAACTGCTATCACTACACCAGGCCCCTACACCGAGGCCTATAAATATCTTTAAACAAGAGCTGGGTCATTGCTTGATCCAAGGAAACAGCTGAATTTTCAAAATATATATTTATTCATCTTAATGTAAAACATAACATATGTATATCGAGTAAATTTTCATACTACAGTGGCTTCCAACCTTTTGACTCACCGAGTCCTTTTTAGAATCAATTTCTATTGGTTAGTCAAGTGGGCATACACTGTCTAAAATTGGGGACTCGGGTAGACAAATCCGTCCTACAATTGAATGATGTTTATGTGTTTATTTTATTTCCTGGAGTGGCCGCAGAGGCACTGAATACAGTTTGGGAACCACTGCCATAATATATGTTACACTCTGACATTTCTTCTTGAGTATCTTGAATACTACTATTATTTTGAGAATGTTTACATTGGGAAAGAGAAAGGGGGGTCTGACCAGGAGGGGGGGGGGGGGGAGAATAATTAAAATATGGCCCAAAGTGGGTGATGGTTGGTATTCATATTAACAAAATAATGGCTCCTTTGTAAATCTTTGTATTCCTTACAAAAAATTTCCTTCATATAATGCATTCATAATCCACTTCTAAATAAGAATGCAAGAAAAACCATTGAAAAATCTGGATTTTAATGACAGTGTCTGTACAGTTTGCATCTTGTCTACAAAACGAATCATTCAAAGACAACATCTGGAAGTAACCAACTGGTTTAGAAATTAACGAAACAACATCTAACAATAACATTCAAGTAATAGCTACAAAGTCTGCTGACATTCCACTATTACATTCAAGTTATAGCTACAAGAAAATGAGGTTGTTAATCTTTTTAAACAAAACATATGCATCAATTTGAATTTTAAATTACTTTTCTTTGCATGCAACTTATCCATAAAAATCTACACTCTAAATACTAGCTACAAGGGATTATTCATTTGAAGTACATGTATTTTGCTTAGCTAACACATTATGAATGTGTATTGTGGGCCAACCAGTTCTACACATGAAGTCTAAACATTTTGTAAGGGTGTTGTCAACATGATTTCAGTAGCCAGCAACATGGGGAAACATTTCAATAGAAGAATGAACAGTTACCAAATGAAACATGTACAAATGCTGGAGGCATCAGACGACATGATGCACATTTACTGTGTCCAATATTGACAAATGCCACATCATAAGACATGTACAAATGCTGGAGGCATCAGACGACATGATGCACATTTACTGTGTCCAACATTGACAAATGCCACGTCATAAGACTTCATTATCTTTCCCAAAAAGTTAGTGTCCACAAAAAATGCACCATTATTTGCTATTTAAAGATAAATTCATATATTAAATTTGGTCTACTTGTCACGTATGTCATTTACCAATAGACAATACAATATGATCTGTCACAACTAAACATAGATACATTGTAGTACATAAAAGTAAGAGTTCTAAAGAATAAGATTAAAGACTTGAATAGATAAACATACAGCTAACAACAAAATGTTAACCTTAGGGCTGATAGATCCACACAGCTAACAACAAAATGTTAACCTTAAGGCTGACAGATCCACACAGCTAACAACAAAATGTTAACCTTAGGGCTGACAGATGCACACATAGTTAAAAACAAAATGTTAACCTTAGGGCTGACAGATGCACACATAGTTAAAAACAAAATGTTAACCTTAGGGCTGACAGATGCACACATTTGCTGATTAAATGTGTACATGGAACTTCTGATTAAGGAAAGAAAGTTTCTCTCAAACCTGTTTAGATATTTGTTAGGGGAGCTGACCTCTGACCTACGCTTATTTTAAAAATAAGTTTCCAAGATTTCTCACCACACACCATGTTCAAAGCAAAGTCCTTTTGGGCAATAAATGCCTTGAGATTTATTGCGCCTTGACTTGATTTTCATTGCTTGAGAAACAACCAGAATTTCAACCGTATCAAACATTCACTCATCCTGTCAAACATAGTAAACACAGGACTGTTAGAAATGTTCAGTCATCCTAACGCAAGTGGCGTACACAGGACTAACAAGACCTGAGATCACGGCTAGGCCTTCCCATTATTGTTCTGATGCAACTGGTGATCCTAAAGTTTAGGATTAAATAACTGGAATCACACTGGCTTCTCAAAGCAACACATGGCAAGTTGGAAACTGCAAAGCCCCTTTTCAAATGCAATACTGATTTAAAAATCTTATGACAAATGTGATAAAAAAATTTACATGAAAAAGGGGGGTTGAAAAAGTAGATATAGGTATTACAAAAAGTTGAGTTACTGGTTCAGTTGAAAGAGAGGGCTTGATTCAACTAGTTACAGTTACGGCATAGAGAATCTGAGAGAATATGCTTCAGTCAATTAATAGTTTAACTGAAAATGTGTATAATATGTTAATTCCTAACGATTTAAACTTACAATCTTAAAAATGGTTGATTACTCAGCTTTTGAAAGAGCTGATGGATTGAGAGACTACAACAATAAAAAAATGGATTCCAACAAACAATTTAAAAAAAGAAAAAAAAAGATAAATACAAGCTGAATGCTCTGTAGAGCTGAGACTAAGTTCATCAACTATTATCTCTAATGTTTGATCAGTAGCATTGTGTGTATCACCAAACCATTAATTTGCGGTGTACTTATTAATAAATGCAAATAATTTTTTCACTGCAGGTAAACACAAAGGATAGCTAATTAAAAAAAAAATTATAACCCATGTGAAATTTCATAGTGAATTCTTTCATTCTTTACATTTAGTCAGATCAAAAAGGGTCAACTTAAACAGATTTATAATGTGACAGAAAGGATAAAATGGTAACTATGTTCTTCTAGTTCATGAAATCATCTCAATTCAAACTTATCAAAATAAATTAGCTACTTAAAGGGAATCATGAAATATTACAGTAAATGGTAATGATGCAAATTCTGTTAAAGCTGAATTTCTGAAACATAAAGAATATTTAAACAGATTTTTTAAAAAATTATTTAAACCATATGGTGAAAATCTACTGTAAAGGAAAAACAGAAAATGTTCATTATATAATTAGACAAAGTAATTAGGTATCAAGTGAAGTCAATAAATGGAATTTTTTTAGAATATGATTAACATAATGATCTCTTAGTAAACATATATGTGACTTACTTACAGATCTCTTAGTTGACTTTAGATTTAGATATTTGACTAACTTAATGATCTCTTAGTTGACTTTAGATTTAGATAGCTGACTTACTTAATGATCTCTTAGTTGACTTTAGATTTAGATAGCTGACTTACTTAATGATCTTTGAGTTGACTTTAGATTTAGATATTTGACTTACTTAATGATCTTTGAGTTGACTTTAGTTTTAGATATCTGACTTACTTAAAGATCTCTTAGTTGACTTACATATGTGACTTACTAAATGATCTCTCAGTTGACTTTAGATTTGGGACTGACTGGTATCACAGTTAGCTTGAGTGCATAGTAAATGATGTGGAAGTTCTGCAAGGTGGAAAAATAACATTTTATCAATGTCAAGGCCTTTCAATATCTTCAACAGCTTAATACATGGTGAATAGAGATTTTTTCCAGTAATGCACAAATAGCATGTCATTAGAGTGCCACAGTTCAAATTGTGACCAAACACATCTCATAGAGTGGCACTATTCATATTGTGACCAAACACATCTCATAGAGTGCCACAGTTCAAATTGTGACCAAACACATCTCATAGAGTGCCACAGTTCAAATTGTGACCAAACACATCTCATAGAGTGCCACAGTTCAAATTGTGACCAAACACATCTCATAGAGTGGCACTATTCATATTGTGACCAAACACATCTCATAGAGTGGCACTGTTCATTATGTGACCACACATCTCATAGAGTGGCACTGTTAATAATGTGACCAAACACATGTCATTAATTAGGCACGGTTCATTATGATGAAACATATCTTATTAGAGTGGAGTGTTCATATTGTGAACATACATATCTTATTAGAGTGGAGTGTTCATATTGTGAACATACATATCTTATTAGAGTGGAGTGTTCATATTGTGAACATACATATCTTATTAGAGTGGAGTGTTCATATTGTGAACATACATATCTTATTAGAGTGGAGTGTTCATATTGTGAACATACATATCTTATTAGAGTGGAGTGTTCATATTGTGAACATACATATCTTATTAGAGTGGAGTGTTCATATTGTGAACATACATATCTTATTAGAGTGGAGTGTTCATATTGTGAACATACATATCTTATTAGAGTGGAGTGTTCATATTGTGAACATACATATCTTATTAGAGTGGAGTGTTCATATTGTGAACATACATATCTTATTAGAGTGGAGTGTTCATATTGTGAACATACATATCTTAATGAGGTATGTTTACTTTGTTTTATAATCCATAAACAATCTTGCAGTCATACTGGAATAATACAGTGTTTATATGACTTTATGTCTAGGCCAAGTTCACTGATCTATGACTTTATGTCTAGGCCAAGTTCACTGATCTATGACTTTATGTCTAGGCCAAGTTCACTGATCTATGACTTTATGTCTAGGCCAAGTTCACTGATCTATGACTTTATGTCTAGGCCAAGTTCACTGATCTATGACTTTATGTCTAGGCCAAGTTCATTGATCTATGACTTTATGCTTTATGTCTAGGCCAAGTTCACTGATCTATGACTTTATGCTTTATGTCTAGGCCAAGTTCACTGATCTATGACTTTATGCTTTATGTCTAGGCCAAGTTCACTGATCTATGACCTTATGCTTTATGTCTAGGCCAAGTTCACTGATCTATGACTTTATGTCTAGATCCAGTTCACTGATCTATGACTTTATGTCTAGGCCAAGTTCACTGATCTATGACTTTATGTCTAGGCCAAGTTCACTGATCTATGACTTTATGTCTAGGCCAAGTTCACTGATCTATGACTTTATGTCTAGATCCAGTTCACTGATCTATGACTTTATGCTTTATGTCTAGGCCAAGTTCACCGATGATTTTGTGTCTAGGCCCGAGTCACAGCTCTATGACTTTCCCTTCAATAACAGAATTTAATCAGGTGCCATGTTAAAATTTTCAAAATTATTACATAATGCACACAATATTATATGAAATAATGAACTTATAAGGTAATGAATGTCCTGATAAATGATAAAGTAGAGATATAAACTCACCTGGGCACACAGGTAAGCCAAAGCCAGGTAACCAGCAATACAAAGGGCAAGGAAGAGATCAAATACAGCCGGCTTCACACTTTCGTAGGAAAGGGGAGAGAAAGCATAATGGTATCAATGAACACAGAAACAAACAGCAAAGATCAGAGATTCGTTTTTCTATAAGCTCATGAATTATGTTGCCTCTAATGGAATGTATTTTGTCTGTTCTATACTGGTCTCTGGGTTAAATGTTGAGACTTAAAAAACTTGATGAAGTAACATCATAAATTTTACTTCCACTCACTGTTTTTTGTCAGGGACTTGCGCCCACTCTTATTCTTTTCATTCATTTTTAGGTAGTCTACATGTATAGCTACATTTGTCAATTTAATTTATACCATCAACATTTTTTTTTAAAACTGATAAAAGTATTTGCCGAAACGTTTACCTTCGTATTCTGCATGATGATAATTAAAGCTGAAGATATATTGTTTGTGTCTAATTAATCTACTTTCTTTAAATCTTTATTGCAGTCCAACAATCTTATAATTTGTTAATTGTATACATGCAAATGATTTCAAAGAATCAATGTAATAATGGCCCCCCACTGACCAGTGGTCACATTAGGTGGAATCTAATGTTTTAAGAAAATTGAAAACAAGATATTAAAATTAAACTTACTTGTAAGCATTCATCACATAGTCAGCTCCAGTGTAGAAGACAAATTCTGGGTCTCTGAAACAAACAGTCACCCAATGTTTTTATGAACAAAAACAGAACATGATTAAATCCATAAAGAGAAACATTTAGGACTAATCCTATGCAACATGCCACAGATACTTGTTCTAAAGCCCATTCCTTCATAAGCTGACACCCTAAGCCTTGGATGGGGAAAAAGCCTAGAGAGCGTATTACCCACTCATAAGCCAACTCATAAAATAATATGATGACAGTGTAAGCAAAACAATACCAAAGAATATTTAGGAAGAGATTATGCCGGTGATAAATATGACGCCATCTACTTCCAGCATCTTTGTTTTTGTTATGCTGTAAAAAATGATGTCAGTATGTGCAATAAAAATTGTTATTGAAATCAAAATATTTAAAACATGACCAAGTGCAGATAGTTATTAATATTTAAAGTATGGTGGACTAGGACCTCGGCAATCTCCAATACCAATTTCCTTATTTAATGTACCTGGAGAAATTTACTCAAATCTCTTTTGACCCTTTCATAAGCTGACTACCCCACTTATTCCTTTGAAATATTTCCCCCTAAAGTCATCTTTTGAATGAGTAAATGTGGTAAGTAAAGAACAAGACATTATTCAAGTGACTAAATCAAGAATGACTTCCCATTGCAGCATTACAAATTGATAATTGAAACCTTACCTTTTATCTGCCTTGATAGACGTTTTACGAACATCTTTGAGGTAGCGAGCCATCATCTGTTCTAACGTCATGATTAGCTCTGAGTCAGCCTTGAGGAGCTGGGCTGCTTTAGGCTCACTGGCAAAGTAATCTAACCAAGCTGTCACAACTGACTCTTCCACTGACTGAAAGATTCAGAGTTGAAATTAACAAAACTGGGATATTAAAATTCTAAACAAATAGAACCGTTTTATGTTTCTTAGATAAGACAATTTATCTTGCTTTAATGTTAACTTATATTCTGACTGGTTGCTTTCTTTCATTTTTAAATCTCATGCACTGTCTTGAGAATAGAAAGTTTTTGTAATTAGATATAGTTCATCTTGATCAAACATTCAACAAGAATATTGTTAACGCTTTTCAAACAGAGCGTTTTTTTATTTTTGGTGCCAAGAAAACGGGGCCCTTTTCACAAGCCCACCATTTACTTTGCAAAATTAATTATACAAAATAAAGTAACTACTTCACAATTAAAAAAAACTAAATTCTTGTAATTGTAGAAAATTGAATGACATGATACAATCTTTATGAATCAAACTGAAATCTCAACATTTATGCAAATGAGATATCCTTATGGACATAATAGATGCATGCATTTTTTTTTTTTACACTTAAAATGAAAATATATTTCTAAATGAATTGTGTTGAATTTTCTGATAGTTGAAGCCTAAATAAGTCCTTACAAACATTTGAATGAATTCAATTAATCAGTATGTAAAACTGCATAAAGTATTCCACTGGGGGTGCTTATTATGCCTTGTGGCATGTTTCTAGGTCATTTATTTAACCTTTATAGTGGTTACTTGGTACACAAAAAAGTTATATAAAATAACAGTAAACTGTAAGCTATCAATGAAAGTGGCCATTAAAATGGAGAGATAAGCAACATATGTGAGAACCAATCTGATTGGCTTGCACAAAGATCAGGCAGCCGATCTCCAGTCTTGTATTAAATGGGTCGATAGATTGGCCCTGTCGTTTTCTTCACCATTCAACCCTTGGACCGGTAGATCGGCCCATTTGCTTCAAGAGGGTTAAGAAGATGGGATGTATTTTTGGTCTTTAAATATAGCCTTTAAAAAAAAAAAATTTTAAATAATGCTATCAACACAGAGAGCTAACGATAATGACATTGTGCTTACCAGTGTATCTGTAAACATCTGGAAACTGCCCTGACTAGTTAAATTGTAAATCTGACGCGCTAGAGCTTCAGCAATATGCTGGGCATTTCTTGAGATCACAGCAGCACTGACTTTTTCTCTAAAAATAGAAATTTCACTTTGATGTCTATTCGTTACATTATTGTAGTAAGTCATAAGAACAGAAATTTTAAGATTGAAAATTGAAGAATTCATGTAATTCAAAAGAGTGTAACTTTTGACAGATTCACTTTTAAGTCAACTTAAAGCTACATAAGAATCAATATGAAAGAGTGACAATTAAAAAATAATTACAATTTCTACACAAAAGCTTTTGGTTTCAAGTTTCTCCGTTTACAAAGTAACATTTTTAATTGAATTTAAATCTTGAATGTAGACTAAATAATGGAATCAAGGTGTAAGCCTTTGAGACGGTGGTGGACTGGAGTATCCAAATGGCACAGAACAAAAATCTTTTAGAAGAAATTTAATACGTTAGTTTTATTTTAATGTACAAGTGCCCCGGCCAGCCCAACTATATTAGACCATGGAAGCCCCTCTGGAATTTCCCTGGTGTCCAGGTCCACCCCTGCTTGTTTTTGTTCTCTAATTTCCTCCACCCTTGCTTTGGGATGTTGATACTACAAGTTTGAAACAAAATGCAGTTGATTGCATGTTCTTATAATTGCCCATGACAACAAGTAAAGAAATCAAGAATGACATCATCCGACAGTTCTTGGGTATAAATGCTGCAAGACTGCACATAATTTGCTTTTTGCCCATATTTTATGATAGTAAAATAAATACCTTGTATCAAGAATAGTGGTTCTATCTGGGCTCTTGTGCGTGTCAAGGTGACTAAGGGTGAAGGCCAGCATACGTTTAATACTAAAGCGCTCATGCTCCCATGCCAGCATCTCATCCGCTAAGTTGATCTTCTTATGGACCATGCCGACTTTAACTTCAGGGAAATGTTCTTTGGCAACATCTTCAATGTGCTACAAACATATTTCACTCTATTCAGATATCATGATTAAACCTTGACTTGTTTAAGAATAAAGAAAAACTTTAGGTTACTTATTGTTTAATCCCCTCCTCCAATAGTCAGCATCTTTTTAAAATGTGATCTATTCAGTTTTCCTAAGCTTTACCTTTAAATATAATAAAGTTTATAGATGCTAAAACCAGTGATTCAAACACAATAAATAACAAATTGTACTTGATAGAGTTGTCCTCCAGGACTGTCCTCCTTTGGTGGTTTCGATACATGAAGGTTCAAATTATTGGTTGCTCCAACGGTGTCAAGACATAGAACAAAAGCAACATCAGATAAAATGTTACCTTCTGAAAAAATATTTCATACCACATCATTAGACAGAGTCAAAGCCTAACAATAACTAACCACATTATTAAATAGTACCAAAACCTTAAAATAAATAACAGCATCTTCAAACAGTGTCAAAGCCTTACAATGACTAACCTCATCAATAAACAGTGTCAAAGCCTTACAATGACTAACCTCATCAATAAACAGTGTCAAAGCCTTTCAATGACTAACCTCATCATTAGACAGTGTCAAAGCCTTACTTTGACTAGCCACATCATTAGACAGTGTCAAAGGCTTACAGTGATTAACCTCATCATTAGACAGTGTCAAAGCCTTACAATGACTAGCCACATCATTAGACAGTGTCAGACCTGTTTACACCTCAAGCTCCAAAAATCGTACAATATTATCTCAAAATCGTACACTATAGTACCTGAATAGCAAATAAATAAACATACTTTGTATATATAATGAACTACTCGCATCGCGTGTCTAGTGGAATCGAGTTAAACTGGCGTCAAAAAAGGCAACTTCTAAAAGTAGATGACAGATGTTTATATTGCAATCTGCTGTGACTATGTTTTGCAGATGTGTATCGGCTCTAGATATTAATTAATAAATAGGTGAACGTGCAGATGACATTATCACAGTCTGCCACTGGTAAAAATAAAGATACTGGTTAAATTTAACGTGGTTCAAGCTGAAGTCAGATCAGCAGAAATAAAATTTATGAAGATAAAAATTAATTTAAAAATTATGGCGTCATTTTAAAAAAATACTACCAGGTAACTTGAGATTTATTTTTTAAGAAAATATGTTGTTTTTTAAAAAAATAAATAAGAATCAAAATCCCTCATTCCTATTTACCGCTAACATATTACAGTCTGATAGCTACAAGTTGTAAATGGGTAAAAGGAAGAGAGGGTATTAAAAATCTTACAGCTGTTTAGAGTGATCTAAAATAGATTTCAAAGGCCCCCTCAGATCGCAATGACTGCTGGATGTAGAAAGCAAATGTAAGTTAAAACTAAAAACCGAATATGTACTTTTTAATAAATTTTATTTTTTTAATCTGAAAAAACAACTGGAGTATATATTTTTTATTCCAGTCACTTAAAAATCGTAGTTCTGACGGGTCTCGGCGAACAATCGTAAAAGACATCTCAAAATTGTACATTGTGCGCCAAAATCATAAGTGTAAACAGGTCTGCAGTGACAAAGCCTTACAATGACTAACCACATCATTATAAAAAGCCACAATATTAGACAGTGTAAAAGCCTTACAGTGACTAACCTCATCATTAAACAGTGTTAAGGCCTTACAATGACTGACTAAACAGATCAAATAATAAAAATATGTATTAAAACTATCTTTGCCTAGTGCATTACATTTCGCATTGTTTAGTGCATTAAATTTCCCATTATGTTTAGTGTTTGAATAAGTCTTTAATTTTGTAATTTAAAAATGATTTCTAACTTTCTCTCTATGTTTAGCAATGGAGATTTTTACCTGCTGCTTCAAAGTTATCTTCAATCCATTTTTTAGATCCTTGATAGTTGAATTTGCCACCTCCAGATAGCAGGAAGACTAAATTGTATCTAAAAAATGTTAAGAGACCTAAATTGTTCTCTTTTTTTTTTATTTGAGCTGATAATTGGTGGCTCAACTGACAATATTGAACTACTGATCCAGAAAAATTAAACACAAGCTTATGAATCAATTTGTTTTGTAACCACTGCAACAGACGAAGTAATGCTACTTGTGTCTGTGAAAAGGATACTTGGCATGGGTTCTTGAGTTAGTGAAAAGCTTGGAGAATAGTCTTGCAAGTTCTAATAAGAGGATAACTCCTGATCCATTAGAGTCTACTCCATAAGACAATGCCTGAAACACACATTGTACACATATGTATTTGACACAATGCACATAATGTATCATACACACAATATGCACAAATGTATCATACACACCATATGCACCAATGTATCTTACACACAATATGCACAAATGAATCATAATGATGAGCCAAAACATTGCTTTCAAGAAAACAAAGCAATAATTTACTTATAGATAAATTATGACTGTTCACAGAATTAATTAATGGTCTACAGAACATAAAATATTTACCGGAGCGATTCCCATTGCATCATAATGTGCAGTTATAACTATAGTTGGAAGCTGTTCCTCTATGCCATATCCAGATAATCTGCCCTGAAAAATTGAATAAAATTAAACACTAGCCAAGTAAATTATAGCCTTATCAGCTGACCAGCAATATCAATTAATATACACAATAAATTAAACATTAACAAAGTAAACTACATTATGATCATCTTCACAACACCACCAATTCTTTTATGCATTTAATTAAATATTACGATAGTCTAATGAGCTTCTAAATGGTGTCAACTTAAAATATCCGCAATCTATCAAAACTTAACCATGATTAAAAGTTTTCTATAGAAGCTGTTATTCATACATTGTAATTTGATCAAATACCTGAATATTGGCAATTTCAAAGTCTGGCAAGGCTTCAGCTGGACTGCCAGATATAACAAGCTGGAACCCATTTGCTGAAGCTGAGCTCAGTAAGGCTGAAAAAGGTGCAAGTCTCATTGAATCAATCAAGTGCTAATACTTTCTTGGCTTTCTACACATAGCAAATTGTAACAAAAGTTAACATTACTAAGTATGTGGACAACTGCACCCATTGTAATAATGCTAGGATTTTAACCAAATTAAAATGGTTTGTTTTTACATAGGAAATTGTAACATAAGTTAACATTACCAAATACTTGTACAACTAGGCCAATAGTAATAATGCTAGTATTTTATCCGAAATAAAATGTTTTTCTTTGAAAAGCAACCAGTAAATACTGTTACTAAAATTATTGAAATTTTAATTAAATGAAAATATTCACATAACAAGGGCAGAAAATATTCTCTCCAGCTTTAAATAAGAGTGAACAAGGAATATCAGTATTACTGACCTTCCCAGGCAGTGGGGGCATTGTCCCCTGAGTTTCCTTCTTGAACATCTAAATAGATATCATCCAGATACTCTGACTCTGTAGTAAAGTAAACTGGAACTGATGATGGTTCTTGTAACAACTCTTGCTCAAGACTCTGCAGAAGCTACCCATTGACATGGAGATGAAAGGCATGATCCCTCAAAGATTTCAAACACTTTTCTTTAAATATATAATATATAATTTTCTGCTAGGAGCTCCAACATATCTTAATGCAAGTAACTGATATTTTTTAAGACCCTAACTGTAGTTATAAAATTTTTTGCCATGTCGATTAGTATTAATGGAATAAAAGTCCTGAATTTAATTTGGATGACATTTTTACCTGAAGTCAGTGTGGGAGAAGAATGGCAATAAAATTGTTAATCTTAAACAATAACAACATAATTTTAGAATGATAGAGATTTTTACAGTCTTAATCTTATCAAGCGATTCTAGCATTTTGTATATTAAAGTAATTAGGAGCTTTATTTTATTGAATATTCAGTCATTAAATCATTAATATACCATCCAAATAACAATAATTATTTACAAAAATTTTCCCAATCAATTACACAATGATCAATTTGCTAAAGACAAACCTGTTTCTCATCCAATGATAAATTGTTCAAATTCTTAGGAAGAATTATCAAAAGTGAGGCTGCATTTTGAGTCATCAAGTCTCTATACTTTGGCATAGTAACATCCTGTAACTTTGCTACAGCACAGCGACGTGTCAGCATTTTAGAATTAACAGACCTTGCTTCCATATTAATGATTGAATTTTTACTACCTACAAAAGTGAGAAATAGCAATGCTTATGCAGTGATTAATTTTTCCCGTAAAACTACAAATGTTTCAGTAGAACCAATATTCACTTAAGTTGTCAACTAGTTATAACACATTTTAAGAATGTTTATTTATTCATTCAATTTGTCAACTTTTTTGACAAACTGCAAGCTTCAATAGTTTTTACTTTCAACTTTCATGAGGTAGATAAAACAAAAACAGTTGCTGACATTTACATTAAAAAAAGAAGAAGAATGGATTCACCCATAGTAATTAATCATCAGTCTAAGGATTCTTTAGTATCTTCAATAATCATTTACTTTACTCCAATCCACTGATTATCATAAAATACAAGATTAGGTTAATCTAAATGCCTATTGATCAATACATAACTTTTGTTGTCAACACTAAAATATTTTACCATAGCTTGTTCCTTGAAGATCATAATGTTGCATCCTGTAAACACCAAACTCTTGGGCTGCATTTACTGGGCTCACAGGTGATATTATTATTAAGATTGGTACAAAAAACAGGAATGATAAGGGGAAGCTCCCTTTGAACATTTCAAAGATCTCTCCCATTTCATCAAACCACATCTTGATCTTTTACTTCTAGATAATTAAAGGAATTAATTCTGTAGTCGTAGGCGTGGCACCAACTAAGATACAGCGAGTTTGTGTTACTCCTGTTCAGTGGTTGATATTTCTGTCAGATACAGAATTTTGATGAGTACAAAAAAACAATAGAACTTGATAATTGGGTCAGCTCTAACTGAACTTAAATAAAGAAATGGATGAACAAAAGAACTTTACCAAATAGTAAATAGTGGCTGAGAAATAGAGTTCATGAGTAGTTTGAGTGTAGATTCAAGACAGAGGCCTCTTTAGCCTAGCGACTTTTGACTTGCCTGTGCTTTAGGCCTCATAAAAATGTAACGAATGCTAATGCATACTATAAGGTTAATTCGTTTTTTCAACATTGTTTTTTTTATACAATTGAATAAATTTACCTAGAGTCTAGAGAAAACGATTAACATTTCATAAGATCCATGCCTGCCCATTTTATGCCCTTGAAATACTTTTTTTTTAATTGGGCTTTAAAAAGAATATATATGGTAATTAAATGAATATATTGTATGAAATATGCAGGGAAAAATTTGAAGGCAAAATTAAAAAGATTCATTTCATTCTAAGCTAAAATCTATTAACCCTCTTGGGACGTAAGGGCCAATCTATCGGCCCAGGTTGACTAGCGAGAAAGACGTAAGTCCGAGCCGCCGGCCCAATAAATCGAGCCTCACAATTGGCTGGCTTGGCGTTGTACCAGCGAATCAAAATTATTCTTACGTATTCCTGCATTGTAATGTCAGCGTTCGTTGATGGTGAACTCAATTTATTTGTGTGCAGGAATTTTTGTGTGTGTGTGTAGTTATATCGTGAAATTTGAACATGTCTGACAGTGACGCTGATCAAACTGTGCTTAGTATTTTTGGTGTTCTAGCAGTGAATTTGACACTGAAACTGATGAAAACAACCAGGAAATTAATGAAGACTTTCAAATTGAGGGTAATGCTAATGTTGTGAACTCTTGGTTTAGTATTACTAGTATTAGGGGTACTCAACTGGACAGGGAATACCCCTCTGAATTTTTAGACAACATAGGTCCCATAAATAACGCATAAGCACACCATTTGAGTACTTTATGATATTTTTTACACTAAATATCATTCAAATGTTTATGAGAGAGACCAATAGATATGCAGACAACTTTCTCAGTAACATCCAGCCTTGTTTCCCCAAAACATAAGTTTTAGGACTTATTTAGGGTTCATCCATCAAAAAATTCACACAATTGATACAAGCAAATCAAGTTTATTCTAGGTGTAACAAAAAATTACACGCATAAATTATGCAAATCAGGGTAGCTCATTTGCATAAATGTTGATATTTCAGTTTGATTCATAAAGATTGTATTAGTTCATTTAATTTCCTACAAGAATATATATAGTTTTACATAATATGTAACATATATTAAGTAAATAGTTTATTTTTTGTGAATTTTTTTGCAATGCGAGTGCTGAGCTCGTAAAAAATTGCTCAGTCTTTTTGGCACATACACCCAAAAAGGCTCGGTCCTAAGAGGGTTAATACTGCCTTGACTTTTAATTTTAACTTTTAATGCTAATTCTAAAATGTTGTGTGGACTTTTTTCAGTTGTAGTAATTTGTAGTCCTTCTGTGTTTTTCAAAGCCAAAATTCGGCATTCTGAGTTAAGTGTTCATCACGTTCTTTTGTTGCGATTGTAGTATTCAGTTGTAAGATATACGGTTCGTTGTTTTAGTCGGTTGTAGCGGTAGTGTGTAGTCTTAGTCGCTGCGTCGTTAGCGGCCCAATTGCAACTTTAAAACACACAAAATGATAATCAGATGTTGAATGAAATGACATAATAGAAAAAGTAGAGTCTTTTTACAAAATTAGCAGTGTCGCAAGCTATATACGCTATGTTTATACTTCACTTATTTCAACCCCTACAAAAAAAAATTAACAAATTATCAAATCTCACGCTGAAGAATCGGTGTAGGCAGAAGATCAGTGATACCGCTAATTACCGACAGTATCGTAAAGCGTATTAAATAAATTTCACACAGGCAATGTAATCATTCATTGAAGAATGATTAACAATTTTGATATAATGTCAAAATTATAAGTAAAAAAGATCTGAGATCTAAAAACATAAAATTAAAAATATACCTACTTTTGAATGATACGTCTAAAAATTGAGAAACTAAATTTTGAAAACATTTACCTGAAAATATTTAGCAATTGCTATTCAAAAGTTATGGTAATAGAAATTGAAATAGTAACTGTGTTAGTGTTCGTGTATGTATTGAATATGTACATGTGCAAATTAGTTTAAATAAATAGCTACTCTTTTCGTTAAAATGAAGTTCATTTTCATACATAAAACATGTGAGTCTTTTGCCGATGCCAACTAAAACCATAATCAGAAAAGAACATAATATAGCATGCAGTTTTTGAATTTATATAGAGCTAATCTGAACTAATCACCCATGATGTCTCAGGTACAGAGAGACGAGAGTTTCCAACTGACCATAAAATTACAGACATTCTGTAAAAATTTGACATAAATATAGAATGTCCTTAACAAAATTTAGTATGAGCAACAATAATCCATTTTAAAAACAACATGTTTGTCCATATTAAAAAAAATTGTAAGTCTCAAAATATTTGTAAGTAAATTTTCTTCTTCTTCTATATCTTAAGGGCCCACGATCAATTTATTGATCATTTTGGCTCCTATGCATGTAGATGGGATTTGCAATGTTTCTGCTACTGGTGTTGATGAGGAAATCATGCACTATTTTCACGTCTGGAGTTAGCAACCATGAGAGCGATTATTTTTATCAATATACCATTCTATTACTGTTATGAAGTGAATACTGAATTTTCAAAGGGTATTTATTCATTCATGGAAATTAATGTGGCAAAGTGGTGTGCACTTTTTATTTATGAAGGATTGGCTCATTGAAGATATTGGAATTTTAACCCATCCAAATAAACTAAAATTACACCCATTAACTGCTTGTAAAATAATAAAGAATTTAGCGTGAATCCTTTACTCGGGCATTGTAATTCCATAAGTTTATATCGCGGTAACTAGAGATTTGGATATTAATTTACTTAGCATGGCCGGACGACTTCCTCTAAAAGGGGAAGTTCATTATTTAAATTACTAAATTGCTTGGGAGAATTCATTGTTACTTTCCTGGTCAGATATGCCCTTTTCAGGCCAGATTTATCAAATTTTATCTTTTTTTTTTTTCAAGACGTTTGGTCTGAAAATTTACATTCGTCATTTTCCTGCCTCTTTTACTCTTTCTTTGTGAAAATAATATCTTCTTAAACTTTCCGTAATATCCCCCCCCCCTTTTTTATTTTGCAGGGTTTATTTAAATTGCCATTGTACTAAGGCGCCTCTAGTCAAGCCGACCAAGATTTGTTTTTTGCATCCCCCCCCCCCTTTTTTTTTGGTGAAAAAAAACTAAAATGACGCCCCTGAGTAGAATTTTGCAACATTGACAAAATAAAACAATGTGGCTCTCTCATAGTGACCCTATTTACCAGCCTTGTCCCTTCTTTAAGTGTCGTGCAGATCAAAGGGGAATGACGTATTTGGAGGGTTTCATATATGTGAAGTTAAACTGTCTAGTACTAGTAACCTAACCTCAAATGTTTTACATTAACTTTTGAGCTCCCCGTCTAAGGCAACAAATGTTCAATAGTGCCGAATTCCAACAACGTGGTGTCTTGTCCCTGAGTATTCCATCCCACTTTCAACACAAGCCGACCCCTTGATTAAATTCAAAGTTCAAATCAACTCTGCCCAATCTGTTATTTTATTTCCAACTTTTACTCACCGTGTACGGCGTAGGTGCTTTTTGTCTGACTTTTCATTTTTTAAAATTCTTCTCTGTCAGAAAAAAGGAGAGTATAAGTTGGGACTGTGTTGATATCATTCTTAAAGAATGTTCATATACGTACTGCTGACCCTGACACTAACACAGTATTCTCATCCGCTCTTGGCTGTACATTGTGGGGTGAGAATAACTGTTAGGTTAGGATGGAAGTTTATGAGGTGGAGGCGTAAGAAAGAAAAAGATCAGATAGAGTTGTAGAATGACGTAGGGTGTGAAGGACGTAGGGCGTGAAGGACGTAGGGTGTGAAGGACGTAATGTGAATGACGGAGGGTGTGAAGGACATAGGGTGTGAAGGACGTAGGGTGTGAGGTGTTGGGAAAAGAGCATGGGTTCGGAGGGTAAATATTGTTTCACGTAACTTGTTACATCTACTGTGTTGCATCTACTGTGTTACATCTACTGTGTTACATCTACTGTGTTACATCTACTGTGTTACATCTACTGTGTTACATCTACTGTGTTACATCTACTGTGTTACAACTACTCTTTTACATCTACTGTGTTACATCGAATGTGTTGCATCTGATGTGTTACATCTACTGTGTTACAACTACTCTTTTACATCTAAGGTGTTACATCTACTGTGTTATATCTACTGTGTTACATCTACTGTGTTACATCTACTGTGTTACATCTACTGTGTTACATCTACTGTGTTACATCTACTGTGTTACATCTACTGTGTTACAACTACTGTGTTACATCTACTGTGTTACATCTACTGTGTTGCATCTAATGTGTTACAGCTACTGTGTTACAACTAATGTGTTACATCTACTGTGTTACAACTACTCTATTACATCTACTGTGTTACATCGAATGTGTTACATCTTTTGTGTTACATCTTTTGTGTTACAACTACTGTGTTACATCGAATGTGTTACATCGATTGTGTTACATCGAATGTGTTGCATCGAATGTGTTACATCGAATGTGTTACATCGAATGTGTTGCATCGAATATGTTACATCGAATGTGTTACATCTACTCTCAGAGTTAGAGTATCTGTCCCACCAACGTTTCTGCTCTCTACCAGCTCCGCTGTGACGGGGGTTCCGCACAAGTGTTACCAGCCCTCGGCACTACACACAAGTGCAGCAGTAGACTGAAAAGCCCGTGACGTACACTGTGTGCTTTTTCAGTGACGTCTCCTGACATAGAGCTCCGTCCACTTGCCGGCTGTGGAGTAGTCAGATGAGTTCAGAGATTTTCCCTGATTGGAGTTACTGAATTGCTTGAAAAGACACAATCTGGAAGGACTTTTTCCAAAGATGTGTCTGACTCCGTATTCTCCGAACAATTCCAGTCACTGTCGCCTCTGCAGAGCGATCATTCAGCAAACTTAAGCGGATACAAAAATTATCTAAGATCGACTGTATCACATAGGCAACTGGTAGATGTTTATTATGTTTTACAGAATTACATGTCCTCTTTTTAATATATTAGCAAGTGTGTTAAATGTAATTAATACATCATGACATTACTGATGTAATGTGTCCAATTGTAGAAGACAAACAAAAGGAAGGGGGGGGGGGAGCACAATCTTAGTCTTCTTCAGCATATTTATATTCATATTTATTAGTTTTAACTTTTCATTGAAAAAAGGAACTCAGTTATTTTCAAAGTTGTTGCCTTGGATACTCGGACGTCATTTCCGGTTTTTTTCCAGGAAAGAAAAAAAGGGTGGGGGGGGGGCAAAAACCAAGATTAGCCGGCTTGTTGAGTTGTTTATTACTGGAAGCACTACAGTACATATCAATTTAAATAAAACCTGCGATTTCGGAAGGGGTGGGGGGGGGAATTCCCCCATGCCCTACCCAAAATGACGACCCTGCTTGGATACATCATTTTAAATATTGAAGTTGGGCTTATAAAAACTAAATCATAATACAATAACAATAATTTTATAAATATAACTTACTTTAATTTACAATTAATAAATGATGCAATATATTTTTGATAACTATTTACGCAGTTTTTCATATACTAGAACTTGAATGAAGCCAGTGATCATAATAGGGCTTAGCCTCTCAATGAACACCTTGTATACTAGTATGAAATTTAGCCTCTCAATGAACACCTTGTATACTAGTATGAAATTTAACCTCTCAATGAACACCTTGTATACTAGTATGAAATTTAGCCTCTCAATGAACACCTTGTATACTAGTTTGAAATTTAGCCTCTCAATGAACACCTTGTAGACTAGTATAAAATTTAGCCTCTCAATGAACACCTTGTATACTAGTATGAAATTTAGCCTCTCAATGAACACCTTGTATACTAGTATGAAATTTAGCCTCTCAATGAACACCTTGTATACTAGTATGAAATTTAGCCTCTCAATGAACACCTTGTAGACTAGTATGAAATTTAGCCTCTCAGTGAACACCTTGTATACTAGTATGAAATTTAGCCTCTCAATGAACACCTTGTAGACTAGTATGAAATTTAGCCTCTCAATGAACACCTTGTATACTAGTATTAAATTTAGCCTCTCAATGAACACCTTGTATACTAGTATTAAATTTAGCCTCTCAATGAAAACACCTTGTATACTAGTATAAAATTAAGCCTCTCAATGAAAACACCTTGTATACTAGTATGAAATTTAGCCTCTCAATGAAAACACCTTGTATACTAGTATGAAATTTAGCCTCTCAATGAACACTTTGTATACTAGTATGAAATTTAGCCTCTCAATGAACACCTTGTAGACTAGTATGAAATTTAGCATCTCAATGAACACCTTGTATACTAGTATGAAATTTAGCCTCTCAATGAACACCTTGTATACTAGTATGAGATTTAGCCTCTCAATGAACACCTTGTAACTAGTATGAAATTTAGCCTCTCAATGAACACCTTGTATACTAGTATGAAATTTAGCCTCTCAATGAACACCTTGTATACTAGTATGAAATTTAGCCTCTCAATGAACACCTTGTAAACTAGTATGAAATTTAGCCTCTCAATGAACACCTTGTATACTAGCATGAAATTTAGCCTCTCAATGAACACCTTGTAGACTAGTATGAAATTTAGCCTCTCAATGAACACCTTGTATACTAGTATGAAATTTAGCCTCTCAATGAAAACACCTTGT